CAACACCGACCGCTCCCCAAACACCGGTCACTTCCCCAACACTTTCCTTCCCGCCCCCTCCCCCCCATCATGAACATCATGAATCACCACAACCCCACACATAACGCCATGAATCACCCAATCACCCCCACCCCACACATAACGCCACAGTGAGCACCGTTAGACCGCTCACTGGCGTCTGTGCACTATATATATCTCACCCTACCGTACTCACAGAATACCGCTTTGAATCGTGCTGTGTAATGTAGCACAATATCACCGCTTCGAGAGCACCGGTGTTCAGCGCGGGGAGGGGGAAGGGCGGAAACATCGAGTGGAGGGGTGGGTAAGGGCAGGGAAATATGATGGAGTACCTCGAAGTTTGGTGCAAAAACGCATGATGCTCGCCTGGTGCGTTCCAGCCTGGGTTTAGTTTTACAGACTAAACTTACATTTATTCGTTACTTGAATACTGGGCATACTCGGAGGCGGAATTTGAGTTTCTGAGTCATATTCAGACAAGGGGCGTTCCTTAAAATTCAGCTACATGGCATTCCCGGTTCTCGGATTAATAATTTTCGCCCCAAAACTTTTGTGTGTGCGTGCGCGCTACCTAAAAATTTCGCGGCTGAATTTAACTGCACCGGGTCACATACACGCGAGTAACATTTTTTTTTAAATTTCATCTCCATAGCTTTTGCCATTCTCAGTTGTTAATTCGCCTAAAATTTCACCTAACTACACGCGAGATGTAAGTGTACTCAGGAGCTGAATTTGAGTTTACGAAATCACGGCGAGCCTGAGGTTCCTCCTCTTCCCACCTCCAGTCTCCCGCACTTTCCTCCTTTCTGAAATTTTAGCTTCCCAGCTTTTCTGGTTCCTGAGTGAAAATCCCGGTTAATATGCACTCGGAACAACATACACACACAGGGTCCCAACAGATCGATTTTTTGCAACTGCTGCAGCACGGAATGCGTAAAAAGTGATTATTTTACTACAGCGCTTCGAAACATCTATTATCTTGGCTCAGTGGTACTTGTTCTCTCGACCTTTTTCTTATCTATTGAAAGAGTGATCGCAGCACTACTTTATCGATCATACGAGCATAATACGCGGCGATGGATCGGCATTTTGTTGATTTTTTTGCAGGTTATCAAATTTTTATTTAGTGTTAGTTCCGCATTCGCTTATGATGCTTATATTGATCTAGTAATCTTTATTAGTTTTGCCTCGAAAAAAAGCAAGTTCAGCATTTTCTTTCTTCGAAAGACGTTGCATTTCGCTTCATTTGAGCGTGGGAAACTCAGCACTTAGTTTAAAATGTGCAATATTTTAAAAAATCGTTAAAACCCCAGCTTATAAAGTATACAGATCAAGGCTAAAAATGGGCACCTATTTTATTCAGGAGCAGGTAGAAGT